AAAAAATTAAAAATTAGGGGGAAAAGGCGTGGAAACCTTATCTTTTTAAACAGACGCAGGGAAAAACCCAAAACCGGGGGAAAGCCCTCCGGGAAATTGGGGAAATAAAAGGCCAAAAAAAATTGAAAAACCTTTTTTTTAAAAAAAAAATTTAAAAACGTTTAAAATTGGAAAGGTAAAAAAATATAGGGAAGCTTTTGGTAAATTCCATACCAAAAAAAGGTTTACCACTTTTTTTTTAAATAAAAAATATTTTTATTCCTTTAAGGGGAGGCCTTTTTCCCAAATGAAACCCCAGGGGAATCATGGTAGTTGCCAGGACGAAAACATGCCTTCAAAACCAAAAAACCATTTAATATGGTTTTCACGGTTTAAAATGGAATAAACCTTACCAAACCCTTTTTTAAAAGGTTTACACATTCCGAACCCCCGTTGGGGGTTCCATCCCCCCCCGGGTTTTCCCCTCCTCCACCCTACAGAGGAAAAACTATAATGTTTTTAAAATTAAATATAACATCTCAAAAGGTTTTGGAAATTTGTCCCTTTCCCAAAAAAGGGGGTTTTGTAACAATGTAGGTACTCCCGGTTTTCCCAAATTTTGAAAATCCCTTTAACATTAAATAAGCTAGGGAGACATTGTAAAGTGTGACCATAAATAAAAAAAACGGTGTTTTTTTAAAAGGCCCAAAGATTATATAGAGAAAAATTTTGGTCCCGTTAGGGGAAAAAGGCGATTTATAGAGAATAATATCGGGCCCCCTTTTCAGGGGAAAGGGGGAAAAAAAATTAATTTTTAGAGAATTTTATCTGGCCCCGTTCAGTGGAAAGGCAGATTATATAGAGAATATATCGGGGCCCCGGGTCAGGGGAAAAAAAAGACGGGTTTTTATATAGAAAATATATCTGGTCCGGTCAGGGGAAAAGAAAGATTTTACTTTTTTAAATTTAAATGTTATAGCTACTGCCAAGTTGAAAGCCCAAAAAAGTCAGCTCTGCGCGCAGTAACACCCGGGACCAGAGCTACATCCATATGCCCCGGGCCCCGATTTGGCCAAATGGGGCGAAAACCCACTGACCCTTTTGGGGTGGTGTTTTGAAAAAAAAAACCCCGGGGGTACCCCTTTCCCGCCTGGGAGTTGTACTGAAAGGACAGATATCCCGCTCCGCCGTGGGGAGTTTTTAAAAAAAAAGGACAGTAAAAATGGGGAAACCCCCGGTCGTGAAGGTTTCTAAACCAACCCCCGTCCCTAGGATGAGGAGAGTTACAAAGGGCATGATTCAATTAAAACCTAGTAGATGTTTCTAAGACGAGCTGTCTGTCTCAGAGGGAAACAAAATTTTCCCGTCATCATGAAGAAGCAGAACGTACGGACCCTTGCTCTCATCATGAGCATCTTTACCTACCTGCTGGTCGGGGCAGCCGTCTTCGATACCTTGGAATCTAAACAGGAGAAAAGCCAAAAGAGAAAGCTGGAAAGAGAGGAAAATTTGGGGTTTTACGCAAATTTTCCCAAATTGGGCCAAAGGAAAATTTGACGAGCTTGAAGTCGTGATGTTGCAACTGAAACCGCACAAAAGGGGGGTGCAGTTTGGGAAAATTTGCCGGACTTTTTATTTTGCTTTAATGTGATAATACCAAAAGGTAAGCTTGTAGGTCTGTTTAGGGGGTTTTATTTGGTAAAATTAATTTTTAGAAAAAGTAGGGCCCCCCTTTTCTACCCTTTCCACCATTTTTAGAGATGAGTATGTGGGGTGCGTGTGCGGGTTTCGTGTGTTTTGGTGGTTTTGTGGGTTTTGGTGTTGTGTGGGATAATTCTTATTTCAGGTAGCAGTTCCCCCCTTTGATGATAAAACGTGGTTTTTTTTTGAAAAAAGAAAAAAAGGCCCCCCCCAAAGATAGTGGCTTTAAATTGGTTGGGGTAAAAAAATGGCCCCCCGTTCCTTATAGTGCAGTTTTCTTTCCCGAGTCAGGTCTATAGTAGTGCAATATAGGGAATAGGGTGCCATTGGGAGTAGTAGGAGTCATGATTGAAAAGCAGGGGGAAAAGGGGCAGGAGGGAGGGAAGGGGCCAAAAAAAAAGGGGGAAGGGAAAAAGAGAGAAAAAGAGGAAGAAGAGGAAGAGGAAAAAAGGAGAGAAAAGAGAAGAGGGAAAAGAGAAGGGAGAGAAGAGAAGAGGGGGGGAAAGGAAGGAAAGGAAGAAGAGGGAAGGGGAGGAAGGGAAAAGGAGGAAAGAGAGAAAAGGGGAGAAGGGGAGGAAGAGAAAGCAGGCGAGAAAGAAAAAGAGAAGGGAGGGAGGAGGAGAGAGGGGAGGGAGGGAAAGAAGGGAAGGGGGAAGGGGAAGAAAAGCGGAGAAGAAGAGAAAAAAGGAAGAGAAGGGGGAACCGGAAAGGAAAGGGAGAAAGGGGAAAGAGAAGAGAGGAGAAGAGGGGGGGAGGGGGGGGAAAAGAAGGGAAGAGAAAGGAAAAGGGCCAGAGAAGAAAAGAGAAAAAGAAGAGAAGGGGAAAGAGAAGAGAAGAAAAGAGAAGAGCAAAAGAAGCAAGGAAGAGAAAGAAGAGAAGAGAATTTTTAACTACTTCCTTTCCTGTCCTCTCATCCTAGCATCTGTCCCTCTCCCTCTCTCCACCTCTCCCTCTCTCCTCCTCTCCCCTCTCCTCTCCCTCTCTCCTCTTCTCCTTTCCTCTCTCCTCTCCTCTCCTCTCCCAGGGTACGGCCATGCTGCCCCCAGCACAGACTCTGGGAAGGTGTTCTGCATGTTCTACGCCCTCCTGGGGATCCCCCTCACCCTTGTCATGTTCCAGAGCATGGGAGAACGCATCAACACCCTGGTCCGCTTCCTCCTCCACCGGACCAAGCAGTGTCTGGGCCTGCGCCACACCGAGGTGTCCATGGCCAACATGGTGACCATCGGCTTCTTTTCCTGCATGTCCACGCTGTGTGTCGGGGCGGCGGCCTTCTCCCACTACGAGGGCTGGAGCTTCTTCCACGCCTACTACTACTGTTTCATCACCCTGACCACCATCGGGTTCGGGGACTACGTGGCGCTGCAGAAGGATCACGCCCTGCAGAACGACCCACGTTATGTGGCCTTCTGCTTCGTATACATCCTGACTGGACTCACCGTGATTGGAGCCTTCCTCAACCTGGTGGTGTTGAGGTTCCTGATGATGAACACGGAGGACGAGCGGCGGGACGCCGAGCAGAAGGCCCTCCTCTCCGCGGGGGGTAAGAGGAACGCAGACGGCGGTCCGCCTGCTGTTTCTGTCTCCATTTCCTCCGCTACTCCCCTGGCCGCTACCGCCGGCAGCACCAAGCGAGGCCTGAAGGATGTGTACAGCGAGGTGCTGGGCTTCCAGACAGTGTGTTCATGTCTGTGGTACCGCAGCAGGGAGAATCTGCAGGGATCCATCCCCATGATGATCAACCAGGACCTGGGCTTCTCTGACCACTACATAGAGCGCTGCACCATGCTCTCGCCTCACTGTGACGTGCTCTCCCCTCACTGTGACGTGATGTCCCCTCACTACTGCGAGACAGGTGATACAGGGTGTGTCTGCAGCCCTCACCAGTGCACCAGCATCAGTTCCATAGCTGCTGGCTTAAACTTTCTCACCCCGTTCAGGGCTTTCGCCAAGAGACGCAGCTCCGTCTAGACCAGACCAATTCAAATCTGGACATCGAAGCCAGTGCCACTGCTGATTTTAATTGTTCCTCCTCTAATTAGGGAATGATTTAGACCTTTGACGCCAGGTGGGTGCAATTAATTATCAGGTAGAACAGAAAACCAGCAGGACTCCGTACCTCCAGGCTGGGATTTGAAGATCCCCTGGTCGAGACTCAGTGATCAGGCCATATTAATTTAAGCACCAAACAGAAGAAAATCAGCCTAGAAACTGGGATGGACTACCTTGAACTTGTACAATAAGAAATGCTTGTTTTTGCGTTTTACGTTGCAAAACCTATTGCAACAGTGTGCCCTAATGAACGTCCCAGTAGTAGTCTACTGTGGTGCATCTCCATAGACACTGTGATCAATATCCTGCACTGATGTCCAGCTCGGCATGAACTGACACTGGCTTTTAGTTCTGGACTCATAGGACTCATTCTGTTATGTTTTACAAGATCACGGTTCTGGTGTGGCTCAGTTGTCGGTTCAACTCCTGCGAAGATCACATACACATACTAAAAATGTATGCTCTCACTGTAAGGACTGGATAGAAGTGTCTGCTAAGTGGTAGGTCATGATTAAAGACCAGCCATCTTTTTAATCACAGGCTGTTTAGGTAAAAATCACAGCAGTCCTCTTGCACTGACAGAAACAGACACTAAGCTGCTGTTTAGGTAAAAATCACAGCAGTCCTCTTGCACTGACAGAAACAGACACTAAGCTGCTGTTTAGGTAAAAATCACAGCAGTCCTCTTGCACTGACAGAAACAGACACTAAGCTGCTGTTTAGGTAAAAATCACAGCAGTCCTCTTGCACTGACAGAAACAGACACTAAGCTGTTGTAGCTGAGGTAAGAACGTTCCGTAAACTGCCAGCTTGAAATGTCACCAATGCTGCTATCGAATCGGATCCTTTTCTATAGGACAACTGGTTGGTACGTTGTCAAGCACCACAGGTCCGAGCCCGGAAAAGAGACAGGGACAGTGGAGGAAGCGAAGCTGTTAGCAGCACACTGATGTCAGTTACACTGTGGTCCACTGACAAGCAATAAACACTTTTCAACCCATACGATCTAGTACACAATAAACATTTCAACCCATATGATCTAGTACACAATAAACACTCCAACCCATATGATCTAGTACACAATAAACACTCCAACCCATATGATCTAGTACACAATAAACACTTCAACCCATACGATCTAGTACACAATAAACACTTCAACCCATACGATCTAGTACACAATAAACACTTCAACCCATACGATCTCGTACACAATAAACACTTCAACCCATACGATCTAGTACACAATAAACATTTCAACCCATACGATCTAGTACACAATAAACACTTCAACCCATACGATCTAGTACACAATAAACATTTCAACCCATACGATCTAGTACACAATAAACACTTTTCAACCCATACGATCTAGTACACAATAAACATTTCAACCCATATGATCTAGTACACAATAAACACTCCAACCCATATGATCTAGTACACAATAAACACTTCAACCCATACGATCTAGTACACAATAAACACTTCAACCCATATGATCTAGTACACAATAAACACTTCAACCCATACGATCTAGTACACAATAAACACTTCAACCCATACGATCTAGTACACAATAAACACTTCAACCCACACGATCTAGTACACAATAAACACTTCAACCCATACGATCTAGTACACAATAAACACTTCAACCCATACGATCTAGTACACAATAAACACTTCAACCCATACGATCTAGTACACAATAAACACTTCAACCCATACGATCTAGTACACAATAAACACTGTGGTCCACTGAAGAGCAATAAGCAAACTGACAAGCAATAGACCCTTCTATGTACTGTATGTTTACTCTGTTGTAGTGCAGAAATGGAATGAATTGAATCTATTGTCAATGATATTGTAATCATGTACTGTACATTTCCTGTATAATTCTGCTCGGCCACTATGAATGATTATCACTGTGGCAATCATTACTTTCTGATAATCTAATAAATTTCAATTGAAAGAAAAAATGACGTTTCTTTGAACTCTCCAAATATTAGAGATGTAAATAACTTCACTTTATGTTGTTACTTTCTGCATCCTTTTCTCCTCACTTTAGCTTATCTCAGTGATCATTCACCAAGTACCAGCAATTTTAGCTTATCTCAATGATCATTCACCAAGTACCAGCAACTTTAGCTTATCTCAGTGATCATTCACCAAGTACCAGCAACTTTAGCTTATCTCAATGATCATTCACCAAGTACCAGCAACTTTAGCTTATCTCAATGATCATTCACCAAGTACCAGCAACTTTAGCTTATCTCAATGATCATTCACCAAGTACCAGCAACTTTAGCTTATCTCAATGATCATTCACCAAGTACCAGCAACTTTAGCTTATCTCAATGATCATTCACCAAGTACCAGCAACTTTAGCTTATCTCAATGATCATTCACCAAGTACCAGCAACTTTAGCTTATCTCAATGATCATTCACCAAGTACCACCACCTTTAGCTTATCTCAATGATCATTCACCAAGTACCACCACCTTTAGCTTATTTGACCAGATTTGTGCAAGCCTAATCTTGACAACCCAGAACCTAAACTATCCCGCAAACTACATCATCTGTCGACAAGAGATTAGTACAAACCAGGTCTGAATGTAAAGAAATGCACGAGAAACAACAGCATCATGTGAAACAACAGCAGTGACAGGTCCTGCGCCAAGACAGGTGGTTTCACCACAGGACCTCTGATGACAGGCCAGGTCCAGCTACCGTACAACAGATCATCCCTACTGCACCACCCTCTGAGGTGTCATCATGCTGTCATCAACCTGTGCCAATGTACTGCATCACAACTAGCGTTGCAAAATTCCAGTAACTTTCCCAAAATGTCCAGGTTTTCCAAGGAATCTTAGTTGGAAGATTTTGCTATCCTAATCAGAACTAAAATAACATTGGACATACAGTGTGTGTGTTGTGGTATTCTGTCTGGTATGTTATGTACTTTAAACAATATGAAGCGTTTAAATAGTATTTTATCTGAACTCGTAACGTAAAGGAAATGTTAAGTATTTTGTACTAGTTACACTACATGGGTACAATCAGAGTTACAGTACATGGGTACAATCAGAGTTACACTACATGGGTACAATCAGAGTTACAGTACATGGGTACAATCAGAGTTACAGTACATGGGTACAATCAGAGTTACAGTACATGGGTACAATCAAAGTTACAGTACATGGGTACAATCAGAGTTACAGTACATGGGTACAATCAGAGTTACAGTACAGGTACAATCAGAGTTACAGTACATGGGTACAATCAGAGTTACACTACATGGGTACAATCAGAGTTACAGTACATGGGTACAATCAGAGTTACACTACATGGGTACAATCAGAGTTACAGTACATGGGTACAATCATAGTTACAGTACATGGGTACAATCAGAGTTACACTACATGGGTACAATCAGAGTTACAGTACATGGGTACAATCAGAGATACAGTACATGGGTACAATCAGAGTTACAGTACATGGGTACAATCAGAGTTACAGTACATGGGTACAATCAGAGTTACAGTACAGGTACAATCAGAGTTACAGTACATGGGTACAATCAGAGTTACACTACATGGGTACAATCAGAGTTACAGTACATGGGTACAATCAGAGTTACACTACATGGGTACAATCAGAGTTACAGTACATGGATACAGTCAGAGTTACAGTACATGGGTACAATCAGAGTTACAGTACATGGGTACAATCAGAGTTACACTACATGGGTACAATCAGAGTTACACTACATGGGTACAATCAGAGTTACAGTACATGGGTACAATCAGAGTTACAGTATGGGTACAATCAGAGTTACAGTACATGGGTACAATCAGAGTTACAGTACATGGGTACAATCAGAGTTACAGTACATGGGTACAATCAGAGTTACACTACATGGGTACAATCAGAGTTACAGTACATGGGTACAATCAGAGTTACAGTACATGGGTACAATCAGAGTTACAATACATGGGTACAATCAGAGTTACAGTACATGGATACAATCAGAGTTACAGTACATGGGTACAATCAGAGTTACAGTACATGGGTACAATCAGAGTTACAGTACATGGGTACAATCAAAGTTACAGTACGGGTAATATCAGAGTTACAGTACATGGGTACAATCAGAGTTAAACTACATGGGTACAATCAGAGTTACAGTACATGGGTACAATCAGAGTTACAGTACATGGGTCCAATCAGAGTTACAGTACATGGGTACAATCAGAGTTACACTACATGGGTACAATCAGAGTTACAGTACATGGGTACAGTCAGAGTTACACTACATGGGTACAATCAGAGTTACAGTACATGGGTACAATCAGAGTTACAGTACATGGGTACAATCAGAGTTACAGTACATGGGTACAATCAGAGTTACAGTACACGGGTACAATCAGAGGTAGCCAACAAATGCTTTTTTGTGTTGGTCAAATAATTTCACCCAGTCACTTCTTCTTTTCAACAAGTTATTTTTTTTGCATCCCTTGTTGCTCACAGTCTTACCTCGTACTCAGGATATTGTTGTGACGAGGTGTGAAAGAAGGATTCAGGCGCAGGAGGTAAAATACTGAAGTCCGGAGTTTAATTCGTTTGCATAAATCAAACGCCCCAAGCGTCAAATGAAACTATACAAGGGAAAACATCCACCTTGGCAATAACACAGTGAAATGTAGCTCAACCGAGCTACACGCTCTCACAACAAACAATCACTCACAAAGACAAGGGGAACAGAGGGAACACTTATACACGTGCTAATTAGGCATGG